GACGGCACATAACAACAACAACTCCCTCCACAGTCTGCATAATTTAAATGTTTCTCCTATTGTTTTCAACCCTATTGATGAAATCTCTAAATTCTTTGCCCTTGTGTTGAGCCCTCTCCAATGTGTTTATTTTGCTACGTCCTGTTTATTTCCTTACATCCCTGTTTTTTTGGGGAAGTTCACTGTATTATAATTGCAAAACCAATGGCTTTAAGTTGGTTCTGATTTGACAGCCAAGAGTTCTCCCAGAAAACCATCCGTTTACACAATGTCAGGGTCTATGTCAGGCCTGTCACTACCACCGTGAGGTCTCCCCAAGAGCACAGACCAAGTCTTACTTAGGCCTTGTTGGTCTCAGTCGGTGTACCCTGTTTTCCTACCTCTCGTAGATGTGGTTAGATGCCAGCAAGTCAGTATCAGGCAAGAGCTTCCTAATGATGTATTGTGTGTAACCAAGATGAATGTCCCCCTGGGGTTTTGGGGGTTTTTTGCATCTTTTTATTATTATTATTAATTTTAATGAAAATTTATAAAGACTTTGGATTTCCATTCATTCATTGTTGCACTTTTCTCCCTGCCCTCCCTCCCCCCCAATTCGCTCTTCTCTTTGAAAAGTAAAAGAAAAATTATTTTATTGTTATACAATACTTCCCCCTCAAGTCCACTCCACTATGCAGCCTTCATTCTGGGCTCATGTCATGACTATAATACCTAATCACATATCCCTTTTAAACAGTTTTCTCCCTCATCTGTTTCAATGCAATATACATTATTTATCCCCTTTTTCTCAGTCTCCCCCCAACCCCAATGTTTGTCCCGTTTTACAACAGTGGCACTCTGCAGTATTTGTCCTTTTGTGACTGAGATACTTCACTCAGCATTATGTCCTCCAGGGTCACCCACTTTGAGTAATATTACATGAGTTCCTTGTTTTTCAATGCAGCGTAGTATTCCATTGTGTGAATATACCACAGCTTCTCTATCCATTCGTTTGTTGATGGGCACTT